GTCACTAATTGTGTCTGTGAATGAGGAGTACCACGCCCGGTAGTTTTCTGGCTTGTCGTCAAATTGGTACAAGTTCGCTTTTGTACAACACACTCTCACTCCCTAAGCGTCCAGGAGCGACGCTTGGTCAGGGTCCCGTGGCGTCCAGTTGGGACGCGACGAGGCTCCTTCAGCTTCATAAATGGAAGCAAAGAGCTTTCAACTGATTGCAATGTATTCCCATCGGCGGCGGTATTTGACGCTCAGGGAAGCACCGCATCCATTTATGTCGGCAGCTCATAAAGGCAATGTGAGCGTCCATTCCCATTGGATAACGGAGAATTGTACACCCGGAAGTAAGTATTCTCCTTACTGTCGATTGATTTGACAGTGATATCTCCACTACTCATCAACTCAAAAACACCAGATTACCTTTGTTAATTAAACGACATTGATATGTTTTAAATTGTGTACAAGGGTTTTGTGTTTTTCCAATAACTTGTTTTCTCTGAAATGTGGAGCGCCAAAGAGGCTACACTACCCACAATCCCCAGCTATTGTTGTGACTACGCCAGTCCGCTTTGACAAACCTCGTGATAAGCCATTTATTGTCTTGCTTATAATAATGATAATAGTCATTTATAAATATCATTTTAGAACACACATTTGAAATCGAGAATCGGGCTCGATATATGGTTGAATTAAAATCAGTGGGCGAGGCTGTAATTTCGCCAGCTGTTACTCTCATGAGCGAGGCAGAAAATAATAATTTTAACATGCCAAAAAGCTGCTGTGTCGTTTATTGCACCTCAAACATTAAAACAAATCCAGAGTTACGTGTTTCTGTACTTCCTCTAAGAAGAAAGGACAGTAACAGAAGATCTCTGTGGCTTCAGGCTTGATCGCCGTTCAAATGACAGCGTTGGTTTCCCCAAAGGTGGGCAGGTCTGTAAAGTGACGTAGATTTTACTCTCATCTATTGTTCAAAACCATTCTATTTATTCTAACGTAAATTACATGCCAGTGTTTTATCTATTTATTACTTATATTTGTATACTTTATTTGCTATGAGTTATATCTGAAGCAAATTATGTTTCTGAAGATGTGTAGTCAATTCCACCCTTCAATGTAGCATAAATGTGAACCCTCATTACAGGAACAATACCAGAAACTGCCAAGGCACAC